ACTGGAAAGCATTTTCCAAATATAAGTGCTGAAAAAATTTTTGCCCAGAGCATTTAGGATTCCATAGAACTTGAGAAATGTTCTGAAGTACACTCAAACTCTACAAAAAAATGTTGCTGTTTTGGAACTAATCTTTAAAATGTTACTACTATTTCTAATCAATATTTATGAGACATTTGGGAAACAAAGGAGTAAAAGTTATTTTTTTTAATGGACTAAGAGAAGTACACTATCCAATGAAATGTATTAGAACAAAATCTCTACAACTCACTTATTTATGCCCCAAGAATGTGATTTAGCTTCATGAAAGCACAGATAATAAGATGCCTTAACTTTTCTATGAATATCAAAGATGGATTTATTTCCTTTTGAACCTAGTAGCCTAAAGCTCACTTAGTAGTAGACAAGCTCCAGTGCTATACAGATTTTTGTTATCAGCCCCACCATTTACCTGTTTTGGTTAAGTATTTGTACTTAACATTTGCTTTTGAACCAATGTTGAGGATACTAGAGTGTATTATAAATAGGGTTTCTCTTTGGTCTTTAAAATTTTCCTACGAAATATATAAAAACAAAATGCTGGCTGGGCGTGGTGGCTCACTCCTGTAATCCCAGCACTTTGGGAGGCCAAGGTGAATGGATCACGAGGTCAGGAGTCCAAGACCAGACTGGCCAACTTGGTAAAATCCCATCACTACTAAAAATTAAAAAAACAGCCAGGTGTAGTGGTGGGCGCCTGTAATCCCAGCTACTCAGGAGGCTGAGGCAGGCAAATCACTTAAAACCGGGAGGCAGAGGCTGCAGTGAGCCAAGATTGTGCCATTGCACTGCAGCCTGGGCAAAAGAGCCAAAATATGTCTTTAAAAAAAAAAAAAAAAAAAAAAAGCCTTCTGTAGAAAACACACACACACACACAATAGGGAGCTGAGTCAGAGGAAAGATGGCACTGCTATTATGATTAGAGTATGGCAGGCGATAGCACTCACTGGATAAACAACAACAACAAAAAAAAAACAGCAATTGCAATTAAAGGATGATATGCTCTTTACCATACTTGTAAACATCCTAGTGGTAAGGGTATATTAAATAGCAAAACCTGAGTGTCAATCTATTTCCATTTCCATTTCAGCCTGAACTAACTTGTTATAGCTATTACTATTACATGTGTTCACTGTGGTATTAAGAGGTTAGCTGCCAAATTCTTGGACAGCTTAAGAGCTGAAAGCAGGGAAAAAAACAGTAATGGCATAGTTATTAACACTCCTCCGTAACTGCCCTTTTCCACCCTGACTTTTCCCCATTCTCTCTCCACCTCTCCTTCTCTCCTTACACTACATTTCCACTTCTCTGTCTCTTCCTCTCTCTTTTTTTATACCCTGCCTACCCTGCAGGTCCACCTATGATATCATGTGAACTGCTAAATACCACAGAGGTAGGGTGAGGTGGCTCACACCTGTAATCCCTGCACATTGGGACACAGAGGTATGAGGACTGCTTAAGCCCAGGAGTTGGAGACCAGCCTGGGCAATACAGAGAGACCCTGTCTCTACAGAAAACACAAAAATCAGCCGGGCATGGTGCCCTGCCTGTGGTCCCAGCTACTTGAGAGGCTGAGGCAGGAGGACTGCTTGAGCCCAAGAGGTTGAGACCACAGTAAGCCATGATCATGCCACTGCACTCCAGCCCAGATGACACGGTGAGACTCTGCCTCAGAATGAATGAATGAATGAATGAATGAATAAATAAATAAATAAATAAATAAAATTAAAAGGCAGAGAATATCATACAGAACTGATGGCCAGCCAAGGTGGCTCAAGTCTGTAATACCAGCAATTTGGGAGGCTGAGGTGGGTGGATCACTTGAGCTCAGGAGTTGGAGATCAGCCTGGGCAACATGGCAAAACCCCGTCTCTACCAACAATACAAAAAAACTAGCTAGCTGTGGTGGCACAATCCTGTGGTCCCAGATACTGAAGAGGATAATGCGGGAGGATCGCTTGAGCCTGAGAGGTGAAGACTGCAGTGAGCTGAGATCGCGCCACTGCACCCCAACATGGGTGACAGAGTGAGACCCTGTCTCAAACAACACCACCAAAATAGCAACAACAAAAATATCATACAGAATTGATATGGTAACTATGGAAGAGTGTGAAATTTGGAGGGACTTTAATTCTCAACACTCCTTAGATTTTTAAATAATAATCATATTATTTAGCAATTTAAAAGAGATTTTAAAAATCCTAGAAACTTGGCTGTTAGAAATGTCTCCAGTAATTTTCAAGTATTCCCTGGGGGATAAAAATACCCCCAACTGAAAACCACTGTTAACTCATCAAATCCTCCCAGCTTTAATACAAGCCCATTTCCTCTTAATTCCTTCAACACTACCACTCAGGGTCCTTTTCCATACCTTCTTGGCACTAACTGACACAAGTCCCATATTATGGGAATATCTTTAACAACCCTGCTTAGAGTATAGGCTAGATGTCTAAAATGGTCTATAACAGCACTGTCCAACAGAAGCAAAATGTGAGCCACCCAATGTAATTCTGAGTTTTCTCAGAGCAGTAGGAAAAAACAGCTGAATTTACATTTTTATTGTCTTCAAACTCCAGCTTGTATTTTATATTTACAGAATATTTCCGTTCATTTGCCACATTTCAAATGCTGTATGTAATGAGCAACTACGATGTAGGACAATGGAGAAGTATAATATATGTCATTAAGTATGGGAAGGAGATCAAATATTATGAACCTAATATATAATGAAATAGGCATACAGTATTTTAAGTACTGATGTTTTCACAGTGTTGGCTATAGCTACTTGTCAAATTGTATGCCTCCTTGGAAATTCATCAATTATGTAAAAAGACAACTATACCCCAAAGAGCCTGTAATGGGCATTAGTCTTACTGTCCCATCCAATCATAAGGAGGCTGAGATTCCTACAATAAGCACCACTCTTCATAGAGGAACACTTGTAAAATAAAGTGGGGACTGCTCGGTGCACAATGAAGTAGAGTTTAGACTTTCTGTATCTAGAAAAATATACACCAACGTGTTAAAACAATTACATGTAAGTGAAGGGAATTATGAGTAACTTTTACTACCTTTCTCTCTTGATTATCTATTTTGTCGTTTTTATCTATTTTGTCGTTTTCAAGAAGGGCAGGACCATCCCTGAGCAACTTTTTGGAAATCAGGGAATGAGAAGGTGAGTAATGAAAGTACATAACCAAGGGTCAGAGACGCCAAAGGCCCTGAAATGCCTGGGTGGTGTCACACAACTAAGAATTAGCCTTTTATGGCCTGAATGTTTGTCACCCCAAAATTCATGCCAGTATCGTAACTCAAGGTTAGGGTATTAGGAAGAAGGGCCTTTGGGGTGACTAGATCATGAGGGCAGACCCATCATGATTGGGACTTGTGCTGTCACAAAACAGATCCCAGAGCGCGACCCAGACCCTTCCACCACGGGACAACACAGCGAAGCCAGTCTATGAGGAATGGGCCCTCACCAGAGACCGAATCTGCCAGCACCTCAAACTCTGACTTCCCAGCCTCCAGAACTGGGAGCAATAAATGTTAAGTTTTTGATCCACCCAGTTTCTGGTACTTTTTGTTATGCCATCCCAAATAGGCCAAGACATAGCCTATGCCCCACAAGTATCAACTCTCCCACTGAGCATTCATTTTCATGAATAATCTTTGTAGAACTGAAACCAGTACCTAATTCTGTCATACATGTATGTATTGTGTTTTTATGTATGACAGAGTTAGGTACTGGTTTCATTTACAAAGTTTCAATTTACACTGTCTTAATGGATACTAAATATTCCAAAAACATAAATACCATATAAATCAAGGGCCAATGTTTTTTTTTTAATTCGACCAAAATTTGTTCATCAATTCAGAAAATTCAATCATTGAAGGTAAGAGACCATGTGTGACAACTAAGCCACCAATACAACACACCAGTACCTATCTGTTTTCAAAGATGTTGAAGATTATTACCTATATAGGTGCAAGCATGTACGACTTCATCATGTCTTCTTGCAGACTCATGCCCAACTACACTGTAATATATACATTGGGGCTGGTTTTGGTTTTGTTTCGGTTTTTTTTTTGAGAGTCTTCCTCTGTTGCCCAGGCTGGAGTGCAGTGGCACAATCTTGGCTCACTACAACCTCCACCTCTCAGGTTCAAGTGATCCTCCCACCTCAGCCTCCCAAGTATCTGGGATTACAGGTCCACACAACTATGGCCAGCTAATTTTCATATTTTTAGTAGAGATGGAGTTTCACCATGTTGGCCAGGTTGTTCTTGAACTCTTGACCTGGAGTGATTTGCCTGCCTCGGCCTCCCAAAGTGCTGGGATTACAGGCACGAGCCACTGCACCTGGCCTCGTGTTTGTTTAAACAAATGTTTTATTGTTAATTACAGAATTTTCTCTTATTTCTCCTTTATATTTATTATTTGCTTATTTACTTATTTTTGAGACAGAGACTTGCTCTGTCACCCAGGCTGGAGTGCAATGGCATGACCTTGGCTCAATGCAACCTTCATCTTTTGGGTTCAGGCAATTCTCCTGCCTCAGCCTCCCAAGTAGCTGGGATTACAGGTGACCACCACCACACCCGGCTAGTTTTTATATTCTAGTGGAGATGGGGTTTCATCATGTTGCCCAGGCTGGTCTCAAACTCCTGACCTCAGGTGATCCACCTGCCTCAACCTCCCAAAATGCTGGGACTACAGGTGTGAGTCACCATACCTGGCCCTATATTTATTTTAAGTAGAAAGTTATGTTTAAAAAAAAAAAAAAAGGTGTATGTAAAAATTCAGATACAATGTATATAAGAATTTTACTTCAAAATAGTCAATAATCACCAAATATTTATTATAAAAAGTGTGTTAAATTTGATAGGATTAAGACATAGTTTACAGTAGTCAAAAAAATCACAGTATACATATCTTAACCCAAAAAGATGGTGTCACTTACCTTCCATACTAGGGGAGGGGAAAGCAATCATTATAAGCACAGGAAGAATCATCACTCCATCTACCATTGTACAACTGTGGAGAGAAAAGAAGAGATGTAAGTAAAACATAAATATCTGACTGTAGGACGACAAACTAAGCACACCACCTTCAAACTGCCACTCAAGGCCCTTCCTACTAATCACCCTCAGATATATTGCCTTATTTCTTACAACATTTAAACACATACCTTTTACATGGACTGAAACATATCACCTTAAAGAGTCATTCATATTCACTTCCAACTAGAAGTCACTCCAGGGGTACTTTCTCAAAGTTTACTCTCTTACAAAGAACTCAGTAAGAAAAAAAAACATTTTCAGCTACAAAGCGAGGCAGTCCCAAAAGATCTTAGGTTTGAATGTTATCTTACCCCATTGAATGCACAATTGGCACTAGATTAAAAACCCTGAGAAGCATAAAGAGACTATTTTAAAATGATGTTAAAGATTAAGCAACTGAATAATTCAAGTCAAATTACTACGCTAGAGCCTTAGTTCTCCTTTAAAAGAGCTGGAGGTGGAGCAACCTACATCAACATACAGACCTAAAGCAAAGAAAACAACAACAAAATACCCCATCTGTGGCAAAGCAATGCACTTCTGCTTTAAAGAAACTTCACAAGGATAGACGATAACTAAAATCATGTAAACATTTTTTAAAAACTTTTCCATTTGAATAATATGAAATATCAGAAATGTGATGAGAGTTTGGTCAGTTGCAATATTCTGGATGGCAAAATAAAGAAAAGGCTGGTAAAGTTCTTTAATGATAGGTTAGTGTGCTTGAACTCTTTCAGCTTTAAAGCAAAGAGAGAAAGCCCATTGCTTTCTAGCATGTCTGAAGTGTTGACCTTTAAAATAAAATTATTTAGCCTTGGTGCAGGGGCTCACACCTGTAATCTCAGTACTTTCAGAGGCCAAGGTGGGAGGATCACTTGAGCCCAGGAGTTTGAGACCAGCCTGGCAACATAGTGAGACCTCATCTCTATTTGTTTTTAATTAGTTAAAAAAATTTTTTTTCATCAATTTTTTTGGCTGGTGGTCTGTTTACAAACCATACTTCCATCATATCTTACCACCCTCCATTTAAATTTATTTCTCTTTGGTTCCGTAATTATATTTCAGTCAATTCCTTTCCTAAAAGCAAGGTAAGGGAAGAGGTAAAGGGGATTTTTATGTACCTTCCTTTTCTATTTTTAAAAGCACATGAAACTTGAGCAAGACCCTACTACTGTTGTTTTTGTTATTTCCATGTTCACATAGATCTATCCTATAGTGGGTCCTCTTGGGGACATACAAATCCTTCGTCTTGGCCCCTCACAACCAGAATGTGACTCCTCCAACACATCTCTATACCTTTGGACATGAATGTGCTTTTTGCTCTCCTCTGCTTGAACTGCCCTGAGCCCTTTCCTCTACCCTTCTCCTACCCCACTGCCACCTCCTGTCATAGATGATACCAGCTCAAAGTTAAGAGCTTTGTGAAACATCTCTCCTTCTGCAGTAATTTCAGCCTCTGGCATGGAATCATAATCATCTGTCTAGAGCAGTCTCCAGCACTGGTTCACTCATCTCCAAAACAGGTATGGGCATCCAAGGACCAAGCAAGAGTCATGCATTGAGTTATGGAATGAAAATATTAAGCTGGTTTTTCATAAGAATGTTTTAATCTAATAAAATAGAAAATAACTTGAGACTTAATCTGGTCTCTGTCTCAGTTCTATGTGACAGTCTAGTACAGGAGGTAACTTTCAGAAAAACTAGGAGTTACATAATAAAGAGTGGACATGATTTGTTAGAGTATAGCAGTATACTTGTAGTTCTGAAGGTCCGTTTAAGTGGAATTACAGGTTATATTGGCTACTTACAGTGAAATGAGCCTTTCCAAATGACAAGTGTTCTAAAACCATTAAAGAAACCAGAGATACCACATATTATTAATGTAAGCACCAGAGAAGAACAAGAAAACAATGAACTTAAAATCGCTCATTTCTATTGGTTCTTCCTTAACTACTTTACTAAAGTAGTAATACTCAGTTTAATCTGATATGAAACAGTCTCCCCAAATCCAAAATCTGAAAATATTTCAAAAATGGATTTGCAACCACTGTCCTATATAATAAACGTTATCGGCCAGGTGTGGTGGCTCATGCCTGTAATCCCAGCACTGCGGGAGGCTGAGGCGGGTGGAACATGAGGTCAGGAGTTCCAGATCAGCCTGACTAACATGGTGAAACCCCGTCTCCACTAAAAACACAAAAATTGGCCAAGCGTGGCGGCATGCGCCTGTAGTCCCAGCTACTCAGGAGGCTGAGGCAGGAGAACAGCTTGAACCTGGAAGGTGGAGGTTGCAGGGAGCCAAGATCGAGCCACTGCACTCCAGCCTGGGCATCAGAGTGAGACTCTGTCTCAAAAAAAAAAAAAAAAAGACCATTATCCAGAGTGGCCTGAGACTTTCATTGATGATAATATGATTCCACTGTCATTAGCAACACCTTAAGTATTTTATCCTTAATTATTTAATTTCTATTTTACATATGCTTTATAATATGTACTTATTTATTTTATATAAAACGTGTAGCCAATTTACATATTGAGGTTACATCAAAAAACTTTTTTTTTTTTTTTTTTTTTTGAGACGGAGTTTTGCTCGTTACCCAGGCTGGAGTGCAATGGTGCAATCTTGGCTCACCACAACGTACGCCTCCTGGGTTCAGGCAATTCTCCTGCCTCAGCCTCCTGAGTAGCTGGGATTACAGGCATGTGCCACCATGCCCAGCTACTTTTTTTTTTTTTTTTTTGTATTTTTAGTAGAGATGGAGTTTCACCATGTTGACCAGGATGGTCTCGATCTCTTGACCTCGTGATCCACCCGCCTCGGCCTCCCAAAGTGCTGGGATTACAGGCTTGAGCCACTGCGCCCAGCCTATCAAAAAACTTTTTATGGGATATGTCATCACAAACGATTGAACACTGCTGAACTAAATTATTTCTTATCTCGGTCTTTCTGAATTCCCAGTCCTTCGTGTATTCAAAAACTACTCAAAAGCTACTATGTGCTACATATTGGAAACCTAAAATGACAAATACAAATGCGGTCCTTGCTATCGTGGCACTTACAAAATATGTCTCTGGTGGTAATCAAATAATCATCCAAAAGATGATTATCATCATTAAAAACTGAATTAAGAGTTGTGAAGAAACATAGTTAAAATAACGCTGCTAACAAAACAACTTGAGACCTTCTGGAGGTTGGAGAGGTTCCCTGGGGAGGCAACATCTGAAAAGGAACCAGGAACCAGAAGGATGAGTAGAGGTACGAGGAAAAAGGTGAGTGTGGTGGGGGTGTGGTGGGAGAGGGTGACACAGGATACAGATAGGGTAATACTTACGGGAAAAAGCACTTCTATGGAGGTGCCTGTGGCCAGAGCAAGCATGGCGTGTCCTGAGGACTTAAAGCAAACCTCAGGACTGAAAAAACGCAAGACTGGCCAGGACACAAAGGGTCTGGAAGAGTTATAAAAAAGCTGGAGCACACCCAACAAGGCCAAAGAGGAGGGCAAGGGTCAGAGCAGAGGTAAGGCACTCTAAGCCTTCTACTCACCTGTCTTCACTGCCCCCTTGGCCCGCACCAGCATTCCTCAGTTCCTCGGCCCCCGCTATCCATTCTTGTCACCACCACCAGGCTGCTTTCTGCCTATCTCTGGACGTTTGCACGTGATCCCCTGAATTCCTACTCATCCTCTAAGTCTCAGTGGCTTCTCTAAAGGCAACCGCCTGCTAGAAGCCTGCCGAAACCCTTAAATACTCTCTGCTCATTCTCATAGACCACGCTAAGTTTCACTCATAGAAATCATCCTAATTAATCATTGTGCATTCATACCTGGGTGTGCTTTTGAACACCTGTCTCTCTCACTAGACTCTAAACTCCATAGGAGCAAAATCTATACTCCATGTTGTTCATCACTGCCAGAGCCAAGTAGGTGCACATTTAATGAGTTTAATTAGAATTTTTCCTGAATTAATCAGCTCAATTAAGATTAAATTCTAAAGAATTAGTAGCACCCCTTCCCCACCACACACACACAGACCTGCAAAGGAATGGCAAGATTAAGAGATTTATCATCTCTATAACTTTAATCTGTAGAATTCAGCTCAAGTAATAGTAAAAGCCAACAGTTAATAAGCTTCAAAATCAAGACTCCTTTTACTATACAAAAAAAAAAAAAAAAACTAAGAAACAATCACCCCTGGCATATTTTCCATGTCACAAAGCCAGCAAAAGCCCACGTCCCAAATACCTATTAACAGATTATCACTGTGTGAACAAAATTAAAACAATAATTTAGGCTCATAAATAGAAGACAGAAAAAGAATTATAAATTCAGACCCTCAAACAGTAGGGACTAATTCGGTCTCTACTGTTTAAAGACAGCTCAAAATCTGCCAAAAATCTTTGGGAAAAAAGTCAACATTACTTACTGGTTGCCATTTTGTTCAGGGTCTGCAGCGCTTCTCCTGACCCGCCAACTCAGCTATTAAAAACAGCACCCCCAAAAGGAAAGAAAAAAAGCATGCAGAAAAGGGAATGTTCTGCTATCTCTTGACCATATTTCAATTATAAGAAACATCAATATGCTAAAACCTCACCCTGAAGTCCCGAGGATCTATTTTTAATTTTAAAATATACTAAAAAGAAAATATCGTTTTTTTTTTTTTAAAGTAAAATTTCAACTTTCCTGCTCTCAAATATTTTTGGCTAAGGAGTTTTCATATGTAAGCTGGCAAGAAAGAGAGACTAGTAGTGGAAAATGGGAGTGGCAATAATGCAATAGTTCTGGGATTACCTTACTCCAGTATTTTTTAAACTTTTTGGCCTCAGAATTTCTTTAGACTCTTGAACATTACTGAGAAGTGTGTGTATGCAAGCTACATCCCTTGATATTTACAGTGTTAAAAATTTAAACAGAATTTTAAAAATATTCTATTCATAATAAAATAACAATAAACATACTACCTTTTTTTTATTTTAGA